CCCTCAACTCCCTTAAAACCTTAATTCAAAGGGGAAAAGGAGGGACCCTTAATGGGGACCCCTACCGAAAAATGGGCGAGATAATGGGTATATAATAGCTATATTAAGGGTATATACCTACGGGTCCTTATTGAGGGTCCCTCCTTTTACTACCCTTGGACTAATTCCTAAATCCTTGTAGGCCTCTAGCTGAGGCAGGCCATGACCTCTGCTGTGGAGAAAGGGTCACTGCACATAAAACAAAAATCGTCTACAGTAAACCCCATAAAGTTGGAAATCCAATAGCCTCAATCCTTAAGAGTCATGTATAGGGAATCCCAGCACTATTTGGCTTTAATCCGGTTTCCAACTTTATAGGGTTTACTGTGGATAGCACCCAGACGTAGTCCTCCCATAAACCCTACTTATTTCCTAAACCCTCCAAAAAACACCGAACCATAATCCTCCCATAAACCCAACCTATAGTCTCCATTGTAGTTCCTTTTTGGGGTTACCTTTTCATATCCTTAGTATAAAACTGGTTAAGCCAAAAAATAGAACTACAATGGAGACTATAGGAAAACCCTAAACCCTAACCCCTAAACCCTAAACCCTAAACCCTAAACCCTAAACCCTAAACCCTAAACCCTAAACCGGAAATGTCCAGGTTTCTTTTCCGAAACTTCAGTGGCTGCAGTACAGCTTCCCTTCCCGTCAGCGTCGCCTCCGCGACTTCCGCCGACGCTTGCGGGGCTTTGTGCGAACAGCGGGAGGCTCAGTTCTAACTGAAAGGGTTATGGGACTTAGTTACGGGTTCCTTAAAGGGCTCCTTAAAGGGATCTATAGAGGGTCCTTACAGGGATCTACAGTCTTCAGGGTTTAGGAGCTAATTACTGAAAGGATCATGGGACTTAGTAGCTAGGGTTATAAACGAGATATCTATAGTTATGATTACGTATAATTAACCCCAATGAGGGTACTCATAATCTTACATACAAACAAGGTAACTATACTTTTATTTTGTAATGAGTTATAACCCAGGGTACGTATGACCTTACTTCCTAAGTCCCTGATCCGCCAAGTTGAGGGCTTTAGGACTTAGGATTCAGTTTGCAGGGTTTAGGGTTTAAGGTTTATAGAGTTTAGGTTTTAGGGAAAGGGTTTCTTATTACATGGCGGGGGGTAGACTTACCCAGACCACAGTTGTTAGTCGTTGTTGATACAAAAGGATCCCGAATCTCTACGACACATAAGTACTTAAGGGCCCTTTCGGTTCTGAGGATAGATAGAAGTGCCTTTGTAATCTACGTGTACACGGACAGCAGCAGTAATTCAAGAAACCTGTACAATGCAATAGTTTGAGAATCTCATTGTAAACAAGAGGTACGTCATCGTATTTCTACACTTTACAATCAGCTTTATGCTAGGGACTTATGATAGACGAAAGGTACCTCCACAGTTTGTACCAGGGTCTCATGGTAAGTACAAAGGTACCCCTTTTTGTCTAAAGTAGGGTATTGGAATGTATGGACGCCACTGCTGGAAACCAGGGTAGTCTCATGAAGAGTTAATGGTACTCTCACAATCTATAGCAGGGTCTGATGAAATATCGGAAGATAGAACCCTGCTCTACAGTACGATCTCATTCTGAGCCCTCTGGCCTATGTTGTGAAACCTTTTACACAACCCTCATTTCCAAACCCGCGAACCGAGCCCCACACCCTGCACCCTCTACACCCTAAACCCTAAGCAATTTTATACGGTTGACGAGAAAAAACCTGCATGGACCCTAAACTATGGGAATTATGGTATATTCCTTGTTATGGGTAATGCAGGCTATATCATCAACCGTAGTGCACCCTTTAAGAAGACCACCAAGGTCGAAGGGCTGCAAAGCGTTCTTATTTGGACGCCAGCACTTCAGCTGCTCGAACTTTCTGGGGTCATGTCACCTCTATACTTCCTGCTTCCCGGAAAACAACCCCTGTTGGGGACAGTACCTCTTGACGCGGTAAGAGCGCAAGAGCTGCTTGCCACAAAGGCAGGGAAGGCAATGCTGTAGCAGCCAACCGGCCATTCGACAGCCATTCCGTACGCGATGTTGCTATCCTGCACCGCAACCCCTAAACCCTAAACCCTAAACCCTAAACCCCAAACTGCCTGAACCCCAAACCCTAAACCCCCAGCCGCAATCCTTAATTCCGGAACCCTCAACTCCTTGAATCCGCTTTTGTTACTGATCATGTGTATGTACGTTAGGGATTAGGGTTTAGGGTGTAGCCCGAAGCTTATAAAATAGCAGGTCATGAACCATTAGATACAGTATTCCGCTAAAAAAGCAGTACGTTTTCGGAGTCGCAGGCGTGGGTTTTGCTCTACCTGAAACGCCTTGAGTCACAGAGAGATCCAGAGAGCTTCCCCTAAGGGTCCCAAGGACCTACGGTTGGTGATATAAATCCTGCATTACCCATAATAAGGAATATACCATAATTTCCATGGTTCAGGGTCCTTAAGGCCATGCAGGATTTATATCATCAACCGTCATAATCAGGTACGTGGGTTCAGGATAGTAGTTTCGTAAGTTACTATTTGGGAGAGTATATGACTATTAGGTACTTGGATCCTTAGGGTCCTGCAGGCATGAGAGGCTGAGGGGTCAGGGGTTTGAGGGTTTAGGGAGTTGGGGGTTTAGGGTTTAACACCAAATACCCTACTTTTTTTAAAAAAACCTACATAACCTTATTAAGGGGCCCAGGAAAACCAGGTAGGTTTTCCAGAGCGCAGGAAAGGTTTAGAGGTTCAGGCCAACAGTTTTTCCGTAGGACAAGTCCGTCAAAGCTTACAAACTGGGTTTAGGGTTTAGGGTTTAGGGTTTAGGGTTTAGGGTTTAGGGTTTAGGGTTTCGGTGGCCGAGCGCTCCGCTTATTGACGGTTCTTTTCCGGCGGGGGCACGAGTATTACCCATAGCCTCCAAAGTAGTTCCTTTTTGGGGGTTCATATTTAGAATCCTATCAGGCCCAGAAAGGAACTACTATGGGGCCTATGGGTAAAGCAAACTTATGCTTCGAAGAGCACTTGTAGACACTGGGTCTCTAAAGCCCGAAGACCACTTCGGCCTAAAAGCATGCTCTGTGAGTAGCGGAACTCTCAATGTAGACCCCGGAACGGTTACGCCCGCTTCTTTAAGTGTATCAGGAACCCTAGTTAAGGATCCTGGGACTTACTGTATACTAGACAAGGCAACGGTAGGTAGAACTATTCATGAATGCAATTACTCTTACCAACCCTACGAAGGGACTGGCATTTATGATTGAGAGCGACTGCACGAATGGTTGTCTCGTGGCCTCACCATCTGCACAGAATATCGGATGTGTTTCTTGGGCACGCCGTGAAGAAGACCCTTCATTGGCTGCGTTTGTTTCCAAGTTTGTTTCCAAGTTTTGCCCACAACGGGATACTTGAGGTCTGGTGCCTACAAGAGGCTCGGATACAACCACTGCGCACCGAGCACATGAATGCGTTTGTCTGTGAACACAGCTCTATATCATAGGGATCCTTAGGGGTGTAGGGGGGAGGGGTGTAGGGGACCATATTTCCTTAAATAGGCCTTATTAGTCCTTATTATGGGCCTCAAGGCCCCCTACCCCCCCTCCCCCTACACCCCTAGGATCCCTATGACTATAGAAGCCTCAGTGTTAGGGTTCAGGGGCTTCTCACTTGCACCACGCCGGCAGTTGCGCCATCTGACCTGTCACCAAGATGCCTCCTGAAGACTTGCGGGTGCCTTCCCCAAACCCTACCCAAAGGCCCCAACGTAGTTCCTTTTTTGGGGTTCATATAACTATAGAAATCTATAAGGTAATCCCAGAAAGGAACTACTATGGATGGGGCTTATGGGTAAACCCCAAACTTAGGGGTACTTAGAAATATTTTTAAATTTTGGGTTATTATAATGCCTAAGAAACAGCTGAAATTATGATTTTTGCTAGGGTTCTAAGTTCAGTAATACCCTAAACCTTAAACCCTAAACCTTAAGCCCTAAACCCTGAACCCTACACCCTTTGCAGACAAGGACCAGGCCATAACACCCCTTTGATCTAAATCCCCAGTTCTAAATCAGATACCCGAACGGTCGATGATATAAATCCTAGGGTTCCTTTACAGGGATCTATAAGGGTACCTTTAAGGGCTTCCTTTAAGGGATCCTTAGGGTTTAGGGTTGATGTTTTTTTCCTGCATTACTTTAAGGACCTTAAGCTATGGGAATTATGGTATATTCTTTATTATGGGTAATGCAGGATTTATATCATCAACCGAAGTAGTCTTAGTCCAAAATCCCCGGCCTCAGCCCAAAGCCCTGAAAGTTGAGCCCTGCTACCCTTGAAGTTCTTGGGCTTCATGATATGTATGATGCCCAAATGGGTGGTTGTCAAAATAATGGTCCCTTCTTGGGCCCCTAATCTAGTACGGCATATTTTGGGACCCTAATTTTCACAACTACACATATGTAAGCCCGAATCTCGAAGCCCTGGTTTCGAAAATGGTTCCTGGACAACCCCACATCACTTTTTGCGTCATAGGGTTTCAGGAATCGTATAGACCCTAAACTAAGCTAAGGGGTCATCTCGATTTCTATCATCAGTGGCAAGGATTTAAGCACGGGCTACAGGATATCTGAGTTGCGGCAGATTGGACATCACAAAGCCCTCGACAAAGCTTTTCAAAACCCAAGCCCCTAAACCATCAACCCTGAACCTCTGAACCCCTAAACCTTAAAGCCTATACACTCCTGAACCCCAAACCCCAAAAACCCCAAACCTTGCAAGCCCTCCAACACAAGGCCCATCCCACCATGCTGCCCGAATCGCAAAGTTTTCCGTTTCGCCCCAAATCCTAACCTTCCGGGTCCAAGTACTCATTATTTAGGGATTTGGGGGCTTTTCGGGTACCAACAGCCATAAGTAAGGACTACTTGGACCTTTAGGGTAATTAAACCCAAACCAGAAGCCAGTGCCGTGGAGGAAGCCAGGAAGTGCTTGACCGCCTGTGGCATTGTGCCCCAAAACGACAAGGAGCACGTGTCTGCGCGTCTGTCCGTGTGTGTGTGTATTTGTTTGCATGGTTTTGCCGGCTTTGTGGCAGTGTTTGATCAGCATTTGCTGTGTATTCATCTGGTCTTTACAACGATGTAGCACATGAGCTTCAGGGCTTTGAGTTTTCTTCTTAGAGTCTTAGAGTCTTTGAATCACGGGTTTAGACTTGCTGTCCAAGCTTTAGGGTGTGTTGTTCCCGGTGGATTTGCTTGATCGATTTGACATTACATCCCTACACCCTCAGATTGACAACCCTACACCCTCAACGCTAAACTCCGTTTAGCGGAGTGTGCCTACAGCCGCCCACCCACAAGAAGCCTAGATTTTCAACGCAGCTGGGTTTAACATGTTAGGGTTTACGGCTTAGGGTTTCCAATCCGCCAAGGGGTTATGATTTGGGGCAGTATCGCCTTTGGCAGTACCTGGGACCTAGGACTTTTTGGGTCCCTCCTAAGCCCTAACTTTTTCAACAGTATTCACAGTTGAGTTTTGTGGCTTCTTAAGACTCTCACTTTGGAGGTCACGCTGATGCTGGCTTGGTCCTTCACCTTAATCCGGGTACAGGTAATATAGGGGTCGGGACAAACAGTAAGATTATATCCTTGTCGTACTTAAACAGATTTATGCCATAGTAGCCCCATAGGAGCCCCCAAAAACCTTATAGTCAATATTAAAAACCCATACATGAAGGGGATTGAAGTTGAAACTTGAACTGTGCAAGGCACGCCTCAGGGTCTGACAGCTTTGGTCAACTCCCCTCTGCATGGACCTCTTGCGGATCTTTCTGAGAATCGTCACTGGTGGTATGCAGCAGTACAGGCCGGCGCCGCTGTGGGTGTTCCGCAAACCAGTACTTGAATGATCATGGGACGTAGTATCCGAATTAAACTCTACAGATCCCTTTAAAGAAGCCCTATATAGATCCCTTTAAGGAGCCCTTTAAGAACCCTTACTAAGTCCCCTGATCCTCCAAGTACGACGTGGCTCTCAGATCTTGCTGGCTCCTGGCAGGACATGCGTGTGGCCACGGGGCCAGACTTTAGTGTCTTGAGGCGCTCGAACTTTCCAGAATCCCTTAATGTCCCCAAGGGTCCAAAGGACCCAATAATCAGGTACTCGGTTTTGGGACAGAAGTTATGTAGGATAGGTTTTTGGAGATTAATATTTATGATTATCAGGTACTTGGGCCCTTGAAGAGGAACCTACCCTAAATTATAGTAGGATCCTTGTATGATTTAAGGTATACTCTTAAAGTGGTTTTGGAGGGTCTGGCAGCAGTGGGCCGCCAGTGTTTGTCGATATGTGATCCGCTGGCACATGGATTCGGGTTTAGGGATTAGGCTCGTTGACATTGAACTACCGGATCACAGGTATCCTTGACCTCTCAGCCCTCCCTGAACACTGAAAGCCTAAACCTGCGACCCTGCACATGGTTTCGATGCAGAAGCCTCTAACTAAACCAGGAGGAGACTGACTTCGAAGAGCTGCTGGACGAGTGCCTTGATCAACTCTAAGACTCGAACGTGACTTCTTCTTGTGGCGTTCAGCTTAGACTACTCGTACAGAACCTCTCAGTACATGTAGTGTTCAGGAATCAGGTTTGCTACAACACCTATCGCACATTGCTTTACACATCGTCAGTTTGGTGCTCTTGTCATGATGATCAATGCACTGCCTAGGGACGAAGGTGTATCGGAATACGACCGATGTTACATAATGGACATAGTGGCTCTTCGCCACCTGATGCAGCCGAGCAGCCGTACCACCAGCACCAGCCCGCCACCACCGCCACCGCCACCACCACCTCCAGCAGCGGCAGCAACAACGACAACGACGACAGCAACAGCAGCAGCAGCAGCAGCAGCAGCAGCAGCAGCAGCAGCAGCAGCAGCAGCAACAGCAACAGCAACAGCAACAGCAACAGCAACAGCAACAACAACACCACCCACACCAGCAGCAGCAGTAGCAGCAGCAGCAGCAATAGCAGCAGCAAGAATAACAATGACAAGAGCAACAGTTAACAGCAACGACACCAAGTACAACAACAGCAGCAACAATAACAACAACGACCACCTGCAAGGAGATCGGCCCTTGCGGATTCAATAAACGTGTTGGGATTGTGCCGGGGGCGGGGGGCTGGGGGTCAGGATTGTCGAGTTGGATTTCGAGTTTCGCGACTTGTCGTTTAGTCGGGTTCACTGTTGTTGTGGCCGCGGGTTGGGTTTTAAAGAAGACTTCTGTTTCTGGTTGCTCGTTTGGTTGTGTTGGTTTTGGCCCTGTTCGATAGAGATCCATGTGAATCCCTACAAATCCTTCGGTCTACAAGGCCTAAGCCCGAAACCCTGAACCCTAAACCCTCTAAACCCTCGAAACCCCAAACCCTCAACCCTAAACTAATCGTCGAGGTTCGACATCGATGAGTCCGGGGAACTCGAGTTAGAGGAGTTCTTGGCCTTGGTGGCTCTGCATTTACTTGGCGTTCTTCTGGTTGGCTCTTTAGACTTTAACTTTTTGGGGTTTCTATATGAACTATAATAAGGAGGCTAAAAGTTTAACTTGTAGGAGGGGTTCAGAAGTCCGCCAAGTTTAGATTGAGGATTCTGCGGGTCACTGGGTCGTCGCTGTGGGGAGCCTGGCTTCTTGTAGGGGTTCAGGGCTCATATTGTTCTGCAAAGATTCTTTTCAACAATCATAAATCTACGGATGTACTTGAATCATTAATTGCAAATACTCTTTTGGGGGTTCCTGTAAATAAACGTAGTATAATATCCCCCAAACCATTCTTCTCATTAAGGCTCCTAAGTACGGACGTTTCGAGTGTTTTGCTTGTTTCGAGTTCAGGCTGTGGGTCGGGGTTCAGACTTTAGGGTGTAGGGGTTTAGGGTTTAGGGGTTTAGGGTTTAGGGCTTTAGGGTTTAGGGGTTTAGGGGTTTAGGGGTTTATGCTTTAGGCTTGAGGCTGTAGGTCCTTAGGTCAGGGTTTCGGGTTTATGAGGCTTCAGGAACGGCAGCGGTACGCAGTGGGGAAGGCTTATTATACACGGCCCTTGGTCTTTTTAGTCACGTAGATTGACGACTGACATTTTTTGAATAGTGCAGGGTGACAACAGGTTTCGGTTTTGCAGGCTGCGGGGGCTTAGGGATTTAGGGTTTAGTTTGTAGGGTTCAGGGGCTGCGAGGGGCTTTCAGCTGATAGGTTTTATAGTATCGAGTTTAGAGAATGCACAGGGCTTTGTATGCACAGGATGTGGGATTCGGGCTCCAGGGCCTCGCGGTTTTCCTTTCGCTGCCAGGTGAAGTTCATGACCTCGCGCTTGCGGCATCGGCGGCGACGTGAGCAGGATGGGGATGACTTCTGGGTTTTGCCCAGACCTTCCTATACATTAAATCATACTATAATACAACGTATGTTCCTTAATTAAGGGGTTCTGGAAGGTCTGACAACACCAAACTCGCCACTGTATACCAAACTTACAACTCACCCGAAGTCCCCAGCTCCAACCGTAACCCACAACCCCAAAGCCCTAATTACAATGCAGGCTCACGCCAGAACCTAGGTCGCCACGTCCTGCCCTTAAAAGGCTTATGCAAGTTTTGGTTGCCTGAGGGGGGGCGGCGTCTTCTCTGCAAAACTGAATGATAGGAAGCAAGGTACTCATCGCATTGATGCTCCAAACGCCAAAATATTCCCTAGTCCCCAAGGGCGCCCACACCCAAACAGCCTAATCCCTAGCACCCTGCAGAATCGTCAAAGCCAATAAATAGGGCTCTGAAGCCTCAACGCCCTAGCTGTGGTTTCTGGGGTGTTGCTCGAGGAGTTTAGGGTGTAAGGAACAGGGTTTTAGGGTTTAGGGGTAAGGCCTGGTCCACACTGATTAGGGTTTAGCTGCTGGGGTGTTGGGCAGGCCGACATTGCGCTGAAGTATGGCTGGCAGGCCGAGGTGGTCTGTCTGCAACCTATACTGGCGTAGATCGGGGTGTGAGCAATTTTGAACAAGTAGTAACCATATCAGAGTCCTCGTAGGAAGTATTGCGATGTAAACGCCTGAGATCTTACTGATTTCATAGCACAGATTTTCTTTGTGTTTTATGAGTGTATGCAAACACACATAGAGAGGGAGAGGAGGGTCACCCTGAACCCTGAACGGGCTTGGGTTCAATGGCCTGTGGGAGATCCCAAATGGTTGAACCAGAAAGAGTTAACTCTTCTAGAGCTCTTGTAGATCATAGGCTATATATGTATGAACCCCACCAGCCACCAGCACACACGAAAAATACACAAGCGGCCATAGGATATTGCAGGGTTCAGGGTTTAGCGATAATTCAGGGTTGATGGTTTATCTACAGCGAATTGCCGGTTTAGGGTCTAAGTATGAATTGGGGTTTTGCTAGGGTGCCAGGATAAGGTTGGAGGTTCAGGGGTTCAGCTTTTGGGGCTTAGGGCTACAAGGGTTCATTATGGGTGTAGAGTTTAGGGTCGAAAAAGCCACAAACTCTCACGGCGCAAGGCCCTCCGTTTTCTTGCATGGGCTACAGACAAACCCTAAACCCACGAATCCTCAAGCCCTAAGCCTACACCCTAAAGCCTCCGTAGTGACAAGAGGCCTGCCCTCTTTCTCCTTAGTCCCGCTTCCACTCGCGCTTTGTTGCGTGGACTCAGTGGAGTGCAGAAGAAGAAGAACCCTAAACCTCGAAACACTACTAGTTAGTGATAGTGTGACCCTAAGCAAGCCATCAACGAACCCTTCACCCTGCGCCAAGGAGTTCGAGCGCATCCGCGAAAGTTTCATGGCCGTCGCAGTCCCAGTGGTTACTAGAAAAGGCCTTCTAAGATTAGACGCAGGCCCCCAGCTACCCTCTATTATACCCCAGAATACCCACTAATTATTAAGGACCTGAAGGGCACCATTAGAGGGGAGGTAGTACAGAATCAGAATATAGTCCTTAAGTTTCCCTAGACGCCCAAAAAGCCTTGTCAAGCTATTGAGGCCCCTGCCCGAGGCCACAAATATGGGGAATCATTAATACCAATACGATTTTGGGGGTTTCAGTTAGTATAATTGTAGTATAATGGGATTCAGGCCCCTACATTATATTACACATCACTTCCTTGACCGTGGGCTTTAGTGTGAACTTTTGAAAGACGTTGCCGAAGGCCACCCCAGCCGGTCAGCACTGGCGTTTGGAGCTTGTCCTGGGGTTGTTTCTTCAAGAGTGTCAAGGCCCTTCAAAAGTACACGGACTTCTATTTAGCCCCACAATTCCAAGTACGGTTTAGGGTTTAGGGTTTGGGTGAATGTGGTGTGGAGGGCTGTCTCAGGTAAGACTGCATGGCACAGGTTTCAGAGCAGCAGGCCGCGACACATCAAGCTGCGTTGCATGTCACTCGCAGAAGCTATCCTTTTGGTCTGGCGCTCTAAGCAGCCGCTGCGTCGGCGATTTGGCTGAGCTACTGCCGCTGGAGGTAATATTGTTCCTCCGTTGGCTTTCCTGCTCCTTCCCAGTCTTCAGGTGAGTCGCAGCTCACTTTGGCGCCGTCCACAGAGGTGAAGATGGAGATTACGTAGGAATCATCCAACACGCAGCCTTCGGTGCGGCCCAAATGGTCCCGCAGCCCCGGTAAGCACGCACCTCAAGGAGACTTACCTTTGGTTAGTAGGGAATGGAAGAATGGTAGTAATAGTAGTTATAATTATAATTATAGCCCATTCCTCCATTCCCTACGAATCTTTAAAGGTAAGTTATAGGATTATTAAGGCCCCTATATTACAGTCCCTTATAGATCCCTTATAGTAACCCTTGTAGACCCCTTTATAAGGCCCCCTTCCATTCCCTACTAACCAAAGGTAAGGAGATGGTCAGACGAGTGCACAAGCAGATGGGCTACCTATAGTCTACGTTGTAGTCCCTTTTGTTTGCCTTTTTTTGGTTCGACCAGCTTTACATTAAGGATACCAAAAGGTAACCCCAAAAAGGAACTACAATGGAGACTCTAGGTGCACCCAAAAGCAGTCGCACCTGGTGGGAGATCCCGGTCAGCGCATTTGGGAGTTTCCGAAAATAGGGGTACCTTTAAAGGGATCTATAAGGGTTCCTTAAACGGGTCTATCAGGGTTCTATAAAGGGTTTTGGGTTTGGAGTTTCCGAAAATAGGGGACCTTATTTTGGGGTCCTTATAATAAGGATCCTACTATTAAGGGTACTATAATGAGGTCCCCTATTTTCCGAAACCCCCATTTCGCGCAAGCACTCGTTCCCCGACCACCTTCCGAGCCAAAAGGGGTTTTAGCCTATGGGGGGTTAGTAGGGATTCGGGTTCCCATCATAGGGTTTATATTAAGGAATCCCTACCCCAAGAATCTTCAACCCCCCTTTTGGCCTCCCATCAAGCTTGCCCCTTCCTGTTCCTAAACTTTTCTTAGGGGTACTTAGAAATATTTTTAATTTTTTGGTGATTATAATCCCTAAGAAACAGCTACAATTATAATTGTTGCTAGGGGTCCAAGTTCAGTATAGTTTTGCTTTGCCCCCTTTCGCCTCCGAGGGACGTTGAGCCATTCTGACGGGTCCGGCTGAAGCTTCTTATGATAAGCTCTCTAGGGATTTGGGGTTTAATTTTGAATATTTCCGTGTTAGTTCGGCTTCTTATGATAAGCTCTCTTTTGGGGTATTGGGTTGTATTTTTTGAAAATTCGGCGTCAACTCGGGCTTTTGGGAGGTTGGTTGGCTTTCGGACCTCCTGCGCGGGCTTCTGCAGTAAGCCTAAAGCCCTAGACCGGTCGGGGGATTCGGGCCTTAAGGGTCAGACGGTTTAGGGTTTAGGGTTTAGGGTTTAGGGTTTAGGGTTTAGGGTTGAGGGTTGAGGGTTTAGGGTTTAGGGTTTAGGGTCAGGATCAGGGGAATAGGGTCCTTTTAAGGGTTATATACTATACTAGATGAGTTTTTATAAGGGTTATACTATGGGGGTTTGGGGTTCTTAGTAGGTAAGGGTTAGGTTCGAAGTATGGGCCCCTAACATGGATCCCCTAGGCCGTTTTGAGGGAGTTCTAGGGACCCTCAAGAGTCTACAGTATATACGGTGTATAGTCAACCGGCATTGGGTTTGGTGTTGAGGGTTTTTGGGGGGCCCATGTCGCCTGAAGCCTAAACCCTTCAACCCCTAATCCCTGAACCCCTAAAAGCCCTTAAATCCTAAACCCTAAACCCCTGAAGCCCTATAAGCCCTTAAATCCTAAACCCTACATGAACCCCTGGAGCCCTAAACCCGAACAAGAAAAGGCCAATCAGCAGATGGATGGACGCCTTCGAGAGGGCGAGGCTCGACCCGGCAGGGCTTAGGGTTAGGGTTTAGGGTTTAATTATTTTAAACTGGTAATAATTCGTTAAATCCTTAATATTAATAGTAACCATCATTAGTAATAGGGAGAGAATGGTAAGGTGCTTTTAGGGTTTAGGGTTTAGAGAAGTTCTTGTGAACAAATTGTTAGGGGTAGAGGGTTCTGAGCTTGAGGGCGTTAGGGTTTAAGGAGAGTATGAATTAGGGCTTAGAGCCAATGGCTCTATGGTTTTGGATGTTAAAGAGGTTAAGGTTGCGAATAGATATGTAGTACTGTCTTCCTGTTTTGGCAGCTTGTCTAAAAAACTCGGGGCTCTACATTCGGGGCCTCTTCAAACTGGGTTTGTCGGGTTTACCCTAAACCCAAAAAATCTTTGGAAGGGGAGTAGAGTCACAAGAGCTAAGAGCTGAGAGGTTTTTGAAACGGTTTAGGTTGTAGGTTTAGGGTTTAGGGGTTATATGGCTCTACGTAGCAACTACAATCGTTGCCAGACTTGCTTCAGTCTTCGATCCGTCCACTTCCTCAGCTGGAGAGTTGAGGTCATTTGAGAGTTTCCGAAAATAGGGGACCCTAATATAGTATCCTAAATAGTAGGACCCTTATTATAAGGACCCCTAAACAAGGTACCCCCTATTTTCGGAAACTCCCATTTGAGAAGCTGGCTTCGAACGATCTTCGGGGCCGAAGGGTTCCAAATAACCCCTGAAGCCAGAAGCCCTGAGCCTGCTTAAAGGATCATAGGAGGGGATCTATAGGGGTTCCTTAAAGGGATCTATAGACTTTAGGGTTTAGGTCCCTTAAAGGATCATAGGTCAGGTACGGCCCCCTTACAGTAAGAGTCTATAATAGGGCTACTATTAGGGTCCTAATATTACTATATTATGAATATTATTCAACTATTACTGAGTGGGGGCCGTACCTAAATCATAGGAGTTAGTATTTAGGGTTATGAATAAGGTAGCTATTCTTATAACTACTAACCCCAATTAGGGGACTTATATCCATACTTACTAAGTAGTTAGTATTTAGGATTATGAATAGGGAACTATTCTTATAATTACTTCTAACCCCAATTAGGGTACTTATATCCACACTTACTAAGTCCCCTGATCCTCCAAGTACACCTAGAATCCAATGGTAACTCTGGGAGCCAGGATGAGATGGTGAGTTAGTCATGTAATTCTACGGTCGATGATATAAATCCTGCATGACCTTAAGGACCCTAAACTATGGGAATTATGGTATATTCCTTATTATGGGTAATGCAGGATTTATATCATCAACAGTAGGTCATCCCCCTATCCTCACTGCTAAACCCAATCCAGGCAGGCTAGAAGTTTAGGGCAGTGCCCACCTGTGAGGGTTCAACCCCCTAAACGCTAAACCCTAAGCCGAACTGAGAAAGGGAGGACGAGGGAGGGGATATCTTGGGGTCACAGCTTGATGTCATGTGAAGGGAGGCCATTTGCGAATACACCCTTGAAAGGGAGATCCTCAGCTTAGATAGTGAACGGGGGAACTTTAAACTTTTTGGCCTTACACATTCGCTCTACCTTCGAAAGTTTGAACTTTTTGGGGCCCGGTTGTTGAAGAAGAGAGTCAGAAGACGTTGATGTGATTGTGTGTGTGTGTGTGTGCGTGTTATGGTGGCGCAGACATTACGATTACCATCCCTAAGCCCTTACAGTAGAAGCCAAAAGTTGGAAACCCAATAGCTTCAATCCTTAAGACCAATGGAAAGGGAATCAGAATCCCAGCACTAGTTCTCCTTAATCAGGTTTCCAACTTTATGGGGTTTACTGTAACCCTCATGGCCAGAGCCTACACGCAATGGGCCCTGGGCCTGATGGGCTAGGGTCTATTGGGTCTTAGGGATCATTGGACTTAGCAACTAGCTGCTATCTAATTATACGCTTGCAATATATACGCTACTTACTCAGGCCCCCCCCCTCCGGGCCCCCCCCCCTAAGGTTCTTCGGCTGATCGTAAAAATCCTGCATTACCTTAAGGACCCTAAACTATGGGGATTATGGTATATTCCTTATTTTGGGCAATACAAGGTTGATATCATCAACCGTTACAACCTCTTGCAAAAAAGCCCCCCGATCCTCGAAGTGCGTCTTGGGGAGGTGTCCGATGTCTTGACCGAGCTGCGCCCCGACTGGCCGCGGGAAGACACCAAACGCATTCTCAGGGAGCCCAGTGTGCGGGTTTAGGGTTTAGGGGGTTTATAGGATTTAGGGGTCCAGGACCGGATCCTTAGACCCTGCACTTAGGCCTGTAGTACCCTTAAAGAACCCCCACAAGGAGCCTCGAAAGAAATGAACCGCTTATCGGAGCCTTAAGGATATCCCTTGAAGGAACTCAACCGTTCAGGCAGCTTATGATCTCGAGTGTCCTCTGTAGGTTGGGGCATGCAGAATTATATGCAGAATTATATGGGAGTTTCCGAAAACAGGGGACCCCAATATAGCACCCTAAATAATAGGATCCTTGTTATAAGGACCCCCCAAGTAAGGTACCCCCAGATTTCGGAAACTCCCATATAAGGTCTAACCTGGCGCAAGCTCCAAACTGGCACACTGCTGACTCGTGAATGTTGCAGTGTGGTTGTAGGATTTCGGGCAAAATTCAGACATCCCAAGCTCCCAAAAGCTTCGACAGTTAATACCACATGCCCAAATCGCATCCCGATATCTGGCCGAATTCGGAACCACGATGCATTTGCTTCCGTGCCCTGCCAGCCCTGCACCCTTCACTCATAAGAGATCCACCAACCCGATGCTGTAGCCATGGACATCGACAGGCTTTCGGCTTCTTGGGAGTGGAGTGGGTAAACCTTTTTTGGGGGGTATTATAATCCCTATAGAGTTTCAAAGGATAACCTCTAGTTCCGCTAGGATACTCGACATATAAGGCTTTCGCATTACAGTCTACCCTAAAATCTAGACCCTAAATCCTAAACCCTAAGCTGCAAACCCTAAAGCCGAAACCCTAAACCCTTAACCCTACATGTTCGAACTTTCTGGTGTTCACTCTAAATCCCAGATCCCTAACCCCTAAACTTTCTCTTCTTCACTCTAAACAGGGCCCAGAACCCATATAGAACCCTTTAAAGGAGCCCTTAGAAGTACACTTACACCGCCCATTTCTTAAACCCTAGAACTCTCATATTGATTTTCGTTCACTCTAGACCCTACACCCTACACCCTAAACTCCTTGACCCCTTAACGGAATCCCTATAGAACCCTTGTGGATCCCCTTAACACAGGAGCTTGGCATCTTCAGCTGGCACGTCCCGCTCGCGGCACCTCGGCTATAGGTTTAAGCGTTTAGGGTGTAGGGGTTAGGGTTTATACATCGGCGATTGAGGGCAAGAGGTAGAACTCTTGCAGTGAGCGCCTCGGAGCGGACATGCCAGAAAAAAGTGACGTGTTCGAAATTTAGGTAGCTTGACGTCGCCACAGAAAGGGGGTGACATGACTGTTTTACTAGGATGCCCAGTAGTACCCTTCTTCCCTCTTTGTAGTCCTAGGTTCCTTATAAAGTTACCCAATACCAAAAAGAGAGGCCTTTTTATTCTTAGGTTACTGGGTATCCTAGTTTCAGTCAGGCGCTCCTTTCTCGGGTGTCCCTCCCTCGGCTCTCTGAAAGAGAAAGTCCGAGAGTATCAATGCATGTTCCAGCCTGAAACCCTGAGCCTTGTAAACGTGCAGAGTTGGGGGTTGGGACTTTGGGTTCCCAGTTGAGCTTTTTTTTTCTTCTTCGCGCAGAACTCCGGAACAACAAGTTAGTTTCATTCTCGAAGGATGTATTGTGACGCCTCCCTCTCTCCCTGCCTCCCTCCCTCCCTGCTTGAATCTTTCTGTCTTTCCCTTTCTCTCTCTCTCTCTCTCCCTCTCTCCCTCTCTCTCAGTTGTTCTCTCTCTGCGTTCTTCTCTCTCTACGTTGCTTGTGACAAGCGCAGCGCAGTATTGAGTATTTGCGATAGCTTCGCATTCAGGAGCTCAAGATTTGTGAAAGGGCCGAGGGAATGGGGTTCATAAATGGGAGTTCCCTAATCTGGGGGTCCTTATAAGAAAGATCTACTATGTAGGGCACTATATTAGAGTCTCCTGTTTTTTCGGAAATCCCCAAATTAGTTGGCTTGAAGGAACCTGCATTCTAAACTCTAAAGGCGAGTTGAGGGCCTCAGAAACCATGGCAGTGAAGTGTCTGTTTTGCTTGCCACAGATCGATCTCTACGACTTCCTTCACGCAGCTCAGCTTCGACATATGGGAGTTTCCGAAAATAGGGGGCCCTAATATAGTACCCTAAATAGTAGGATCCTTATTATAAGGACCCCTGAACATGGTACCCCTAATTTCGGAAACTCCCATCTCCGCATGGTTGAGGGTTTTGCTTTGGACATTTCGGCTTTTGAAGGTGCAGGTTTGTTGCCACTCAGGGTATTTTGGGGATGGTCTTAGTAATCAGCAGCCTCCTACGACTATGAAGGGTCTAAGTGAGGGGTCCCTTGTCTAGCATCTTAGGTCTTAGGGTTTATGCTTAAGTGATGATACCAGGATGTTTGTCTTGGCGCTTGTCAGCTCATCTGTTCCAGGCAGAAGTGTTGTCGGCACGAGGGATGAGAGTCTGATTACCTTTATTATTTCTGACGGCTTCTTTATCATAACTATATTGTAAACGAGCCCAACTCCCTGTTCTAATTACTAAGGCCCCTACGATTGAAGGCATTGCTATGTGGGAGTTTCAGAAATGCGGGTGCAATACAATTGTAATAGAGCTTAAATATATGCGAGGATCGTGTTGTAAGGAACCCATATAAGGTACCTTGGTTTTCCAAAACTCCCATGTCACCGGCGAGTGCTAGGACTGTCCGCTCGCTCAAATATCTGGAGCACGGAAAAATACGTCTGAAGACCCAACCCAAAGCCTAAACCCTAATTAAACCGTAAGCAAGACTACCGAGCCCCTGGTGCAGTTGCCCAAAGCCCCGATATGGTGGCTTCAGAAAGCTAGGTCTGCTTCAACTACACATTCTAGGGCACGGATCTTAGCGTCGTTCGTTTTGATAGCATCCCGACTCCTGAACCCTGAGCCCTCATGCTCTGAAACTCCCATTTAGCCCACAAGCGCAGCACACCTTTATACCAGAAACCCTCGAAGTGATAAACAACGTCTCCCAGCGGGGCCTTTTCCCCGTTTGTGATCTCAGTTTTCTCATAAACACTACCCATACCAGAAAGGGAGCCCTTGTTGTTCCAGGGTAATTAGTGGGGGATCCTACTAACTGGAGCGCAGCCCCTTGTGACTTGGTTTGCTGCTGCGAGGGGTTTAGTTTACGGGACTTCCATGGCGGTTCGCTGGCCCAGAATCCATCTTGCGGTACTTCAGCGTCGGCAACACCTGCAGCACAGGCCCCCCCCGATAGAAACTCGGAAAGTGTTTTTATTATTAGGTTGTATTTTTATCTCTACTGTCGCTTTTGAGAGCTCTTGCTCTTGCTCCTGTGCATGCTTTTTCTCCTGCTCCTGCTGCGTCTCTTGCTCTCGCTTCTGGGCCTGCTCCTGCTCTTCCTCCTGCTTTTGCTCTTGCCTTGCTTGCCTTGCTCTTCTTACCTTTGGTTACTGGACTTTGAAGTACCATGCCTTAATACTTTATTTCTTAAAGGAGCCCTTATGAAATAAAAGTTTATACTTTTTTCTCCCTGGTTACTGAAAAGCCCAGGTTAGTAGGGAATGAAGGAATGGGGTACAATTATAACTACTATTGCTACCATTCTTTCATTCCCTACTAACCAAAGGTAAGTCTTGCTCCTGCTCTTGCTCCGGACCCCCCAGAATCCAAATTAGGTTTTCAAATGGCAGGGGTGATTTCGGGAGGATTCGCCCCAATGGAAGGGGGAAGTGATTATGCAAACCCTAAACCGCCAAACCTCAAACTCTAAACCCCTGAACCGCCAAACCTTAAACCCTAAACCCCTATACTGCCCTAAGCCTAAACCCCTAAACCCCTAAATCTTATGGCTCACTTTAAAGGACCCCTACATCGTATGGTGCAGAGCTGGTCCAAGGTCCTGGAGTTTGTGGACACGCGAATGCGACACTGGCGAGTTGGCTCCTTGCTGGGCCTGGACAAGGAGGCTTTTAGGGTTTAAGGTTTAGAGTTTAGAGTTTAGGGTTTAGGGTTTAGGGTTTGTTCCTTTTAAAGAGGTTTATATAAGGACTGCTATAAGGGCTACTATAAGGGGGTGGCCTGGACAAGGAGGCTTCCTGCCCTTCTTCAACTCAGATATTTGGGTTTCCGAAAATAGGAGACACTTATATAGAAAATCAAGTAGTAGGATTCTTATGGCAAGGACCCCCAGATAAGGTATCCCCACTTTTCGGAAACTCCTATATTTGGGTTTAGAGTTTAGGTTCCCGAACCCCAACTCTTCAATTTTGTGGCTCTCATAAGGCACCTTTCCTTTGAAAGTTTGACCTGTTCACCTCGTGGGTCTTTTGTGGGAGTATTCAGGGTTTAGAGTTCAGGAGTTTTGGAGGTCAGCATAAAGGAAGTGTAGTTTACACTGCGTAAAGAGCCCAATATAGATCAGAGACTGTCCGTAAAAGCACCCTGAATATAACTTATGGGCCCAGCACAGACAGAATTCAGAACCCCAAACCCTGAAGTCACGAATCCGCGCCCCGAACTCCAAAACCCGAAACCGTAGACTCCAGAGCATGCCTACAGGATAAGTTTATGTGAGTCCTTGTTGAGACTGAAATTGTTTTTTAGGCTATTTATTTGCTTCGGCTGGGTTGTCCTTGGGAGTTAGTCTTCCCGCCAATGATAGTATACACCCTAACTAGATGGCATAAACATACTCTTTATGTCAAAGGGCTTCTTCAGAGGTTCTTGAGAGGGTTTAAAGGATTCAGGGTTCAGGGGCTTTAGGGCCTGAGGGTATTGGAATCAGATTTTGGTGTTGTGGTGGAGACACATTTCAAAGGGCGGGCGGGGCGGGGGGTGGGGGGGGTATTGATGAGTGTACTTAAAGGATCATGGGACTTAGTAACTAGGTAACTAGGGTTCTATAGAAGGTAACGATACCTGTAAGTACTCATAACCCCAATTAGGGTACTCCTAACCTTACTTACTAAGTCCCCTGATCCTCCAAGTATCACTGGGCTTAGGATTTTGAGTTTCTGTATTCCCGCAATCCTGGAGTACGTAGTCCTCGATATCGAGGAGTACACTGTTTGTCCAATGCGGACGCCTATTCTCTAAACCTCACCACTAGTATAGTGAGGAGCGCAAAAAAGCCTTTGTAGTACTATCACCAAACATCCCGAATCCATAGCCTAGCTATTCAGGGATTCAGAGCTCTAGATGACTCTACATCCCAGAACAGGCGTAAATGTAGGTAGAAAGCCTCCTAAGCAGAGCCTAAAAACCCTAATGGCGGGGGTTTTACGATTACCAATACTATTTTTTAGTCCCTTGTTATAATTATTGCCCAGAACTATAACCCCAGCCCCCTGCAGAAGCCTGACTAGCTGGACACTTCGTAGAACCCCATAGAATTGAACAGCCCGAAAAAGCGTTTAGGGTTTAGGGTCTATAGGGCTTAGGGTTTAGGGCTTAGGGTCTATAGGGTTTAGGATTTAGGGTTTAGGGTCTATAAAATCTACAGGGTTTAGGGTTTAGGGTTTTTTGAGCATGAACCCTGAGAGCACCGAAACAAGTCGCTGAGCGACTCCTATTATCTCATATTCTTAGGTTGAGCCCGGAAAGCACTTCAAGACCATATATGCCCCACTCCCTGACTCCCCGAAAAGCCAAGGAATCTGTAGAGATACTGTTGATGATCTAAATCCTGCATTATCTTAAGGACCCTCAAGAATGGGAAGAACGGTTTATGTTCCTTACTATGGGTAATCAGCCGTAGTTCCTGAAATAGCTACGAAACAGTAGCTACTTGAAGGGCCAGGGGACTTAGTAAGTAGTTTATGAGTTCAGGGTACTTATAACTCTACTTATAACCTACTTACTAAGTCCCCAGCCCCTCCAAGTCGACCCTACACCCCATAGATCCCTTTAAGGAACCCTATAGATCCCTCTAAGGAGCCCTTTAAGAACCCTTACTAAGTCCCCTGCCCCTCCAAGTAGGCCCGCTGGGGCCCTCAGGGATCCTCCGGCGACCTCACCTGAGCATCCAAAGACACATTTACAGGAACCTCGGTTAGGTTTTTGAGATTTTGGGTTTTGGGATTTTTCAGGGTTGAGGGTTTTAGGTGTTACGGGTGTACCTAGACCCCCCCAACTACCCTCTGATATACCCCAAATACCCATGATTAAGGGCCATAAAGGACTCTGTTAAAGGGCCCCTGGGGGGGTCCTGGAGCATAACGAGGTTCCCCAGTAGTATTCTTTGTCCCTGTGGGTTCCTTTCCTAAAACCAAATAACAAGCAAAAAGGATACCTCTGTTACTACGAGGTGATTCGGGAACTTATTTAAGGAACCCTGAAGAGCCCCCTTAAGGGACGGGACCTTTGCAGACCCCGTCGGCAGGCCGTGGACAACTTCTGTACCGTTTGGTGGACGCGCAGCGGCACCTTTATTGTGAGTTTTAGGGTGTAGGTTTGAAGCTGATAGGGCCTAGGGTTTCGGCACTTCTTGTAAGCATCGGAACAGCGTTAAAGCCAGGGTCTTACGTATGGCGTGTCACGATGGTTACAAACGGTTCTAGGGGGTTTTACGCTGGTTCTAAGGGTCTCGACAGGGTGTCCTTTTCCAGTGTTCTACGGATAAGATTGAATTGATCTTGTCGTCAAGATTTAACTGTTCAATCGCCCAGATCTAAGTGTTCTTTTGGAAAAGATTTAAATGTCCAATCGTCGAGATTGTAGTGTTCAGCCGTCCAGATTTGAGTGTTCTTCTCGTCAAGACTTACGTGTTCAGCGCTCCAGGTCCATGAAGCCCACGCGGGACGACACTGTGGCGATCGATGACCTTGCCGCTTCAACTGCAGGTTTCAGGGTTCCTTGAAGGGTACGATGTAGGGCTTATAGGGTTTAGGGTTTAGGATTCTTACGGCTTTGCATGTTTAGGGTGTTTAATTAAGGTTTTTGAGGTTTCAGGGTTTAAGTTTCAGGGTTCCAGTACGGTTACGATAAAGGCTTCTTTTCGAAGGTTTTTATGATTTTTGGCTCTAGAAGCTGGGTAGGCCTTTGGGGTATTTTACGTTTTACCTTATTGGGTTTAAGAGGGTATTTACTCACGAGCATGCTTCACAGGCTTCATAGGGTCAACCCTAAACCCTAAACCCCAACCCCTAAACCCTAAACCCCAAACCCTAACCCCAAACCCTAAACCCCAAACCCTAAACAAGGTTAGGTGTTTAAAGGGATGAGCGACGGGCATGATCATGGCGGTCATGACAAAGAGAACCGGAATGATACTCAGACTCGTAGTAGTAGAAATACTATTAGTATTGTTATTACTATTAGTAGTGGTAGTGGTGGTAGTGGTAGATGGTGATGCTGCAACAGGTGCTGACAACTAATATAACCCCAAACCCGAGACCCTAAACTATAATACTTATGGTGCACATGAGGGTGAGGTTGGTGTTGTGGTGGCCAGTGAGGCCATGTTTCTGTGGCGACAGCGACGAGGACGACGGCTTCTGCACCTAATATAGGGGCTTTAATAATTCGACAAGGGTTTTGGGGGTTTCCTTAGTCTGACTATAGTATACTATACCCTATTCTAAGCTGCAGCTGCTGCTGTTGCGCCGACTCCTACTCCTCCCTTTGCTGCGATTCGTCTTGCTTCATCTCTTTGGGCAGTTCTATATATTCGAGTTCCTTTTTGCGTCTATACACGAAAGCACGCACCAGGCCCCTACAACGCAGACCCCCGCAAAAACAGAAACAAAACGAAACAGCAAACAAACTAAAGCCTCGACCTTAGCTTAAAAAGTGAACCGCAATCCTAAACTTTGAGACCTATGAACCCTTAACCCTCGAAAACCTTAAACCCCAGACCCTAAACCCTCCCCGCCCCCGGCCCACCGACATGGAATTCTCACATCTATAAACCCTAAACCCCACTTGGAGGGGCAGGGGACTTAGTAAGTAGGTTAGAAGTACCCTAAATGAAGTTACCCCAGTTCTAACTCTACTTATAAGCGGCTTACTAAGTCCCCTGGCCCTCCAAGTAGACCCTAAACCCTAAACCCCGTAGATCCCTATCAGGAACCCAAAAGATCCCTTTAAGGAGCCCCTTCAAGAACCCTTACTAAGTCCCCTGGCCCTCCAAGTAAGCCAACATCGAGGGACTTCATATACCCTAAACCGTATATTTTATAAACCCTATACCCTAAACCCTGTACTTGGAACCCTACCCTGAACCCTTACTAAGTCCCCTGGCCCTAAACCCTGAACCCCATAGATCCCTTTAAGGAGCCCCTTATGAACCTTTACTAAGTCCCATGAGCCTTCAAGTCAGCCAACATCGAGGGTTTAGGGGACTTCATATACCCTAAACCGTATATTTTATAAACCCTATACCCTAAACCCGGTACTTGGAACCCTAACCCTAACCCTAAACCCTAAATAATAAACCCTAACCCTGAACCCTAAACCAACATCGAGGTCGATGTCATCAAGCAGCTGCCCGGGTTCGCGAAGAAGCCGCTCGACTTCAGCTCTTCCGCCTCGGCGTTCAGGGTTTAGGGATTTTGGGGATTTTAGGGGTTTAGGGTTTAGAGGATATGGAGAATAGGGTTTGCAGTTTAGGGATTTTGGGGAGTTTAGGGGTTTAGGGTTTCGGGACTTTAGAGAGTTTGGGGTTTAGGGATTTTGGGGAGTTTAGGGGTTTAGGGTTTCGGGATTTTAGAGAGTTTGGGGTTTAGGGGCTTTTGGGAGTTTAGGGATTTAGGGTTCAGAGGTTTAGGGTTTAGAGGATATGGAGAATAGGGTTTGGAGTTTAGGGCATATGAAGTAGAATAGGGCTCTGGAAATTATGTGAAGCATAGTTGTTACATGGAGTGCCCGCATCGTTTTCAAACCTCCGTATTACAGTCGCTTGTGTTATTTATGTCTTTATCGCCATGATTGTTACAGGTTTCGGTACGGTCACTGGTAGACCACTCTTGTCAAGACTGGTTTGTGCTTGTTGTGAGGGCAACTACTAGAAGCAGCACTGGTAGTGTATGTCCATCTTCCGAGTTAGACTATTGGACACCACCCTGTAATAGTGGTATAATCGGAATATTATAGGGCCCTAATAAAATCCTTATATAGTCACTATTACAACCCCTGGCAGGAGCAGGGTTTTGCGTGTAGGGCTCCTGCCTTTTGGGACCCACTGACTCATCCTCACTGGACGGGGGCGTAGGCGCATGAACCAGGGGCCTACATATGGCGGTTTCCGAAAATTATGGTTACCGAATTTGGGGTCCTGATAATAAGGATCCTACTATATTTAGGTTATTATACTAGGGTCGCCTATTTTCGGAATCTCCCATCTGGGTGAAGGCTTTAGGGCGTCGGGCATATTTGTTGATGCTGCTTGAACACAGCTGTACCATGTAGTAGAGTAGGAAACCTTTGACCTTTTTGGGGCATTATGACCCGTATATATAGTCCCATAGGCTAAACTTTAAATCCCCTAGGATGCTGGACAGGTAGCTGTACCTTCCCAAATTTACAAGGTGCAAGTGCTCCCGTGACTCAGTGCCCCTAGTCACGAAAAGGCAAATCGGCAGAGGCGCTTTCTTTTTAAGGGTCTGCTTAAAGGATCATGGGACTTTGTAACTTAGGGCTATAAACCAGGTAACCGCACTTACAATTACTTACAACCCCAATTGAGGTACTGAAAGCCTTACTTACCACGTTTCCAGTTCCTCCAATAATGGGGATGGGCGGTCTAAGTCTTAAACTCGAAACGTCGAGCCTCTGCAAAGCTGCTAAAGCTACAAGAGCCTGGTCTAGTTTCCTTACTTAAAGGATCATGGGACTTAGTAACTAGGCCTGATGAATAAGGTTATATAGACTGGACTGTACTTATGGTTTACTCATAACCCCAATCAGGGTACTGATCTTCCCAGTACAAGGTGAAACCTGCACTGAACCCTTCCTTAAACCCCAAACCCTAAACCCTAAACTAAACCGCAGGCTCGCCAAGTTGCAGGAAGTCATCAATGAGGCCTGCAGAAAAGAAACAAGTCGCGGTGATAAAGTTCGGGTCCATCACCTTAACACTACATCCCCTTTCTGGTTAAGGTTGAGGATAATATCGATGCCTAGCTCACAAAGAAGAGAAGTCGTCAGTCAGAGGTTGCGAGATATGGTTTCTGTGCCTTTCTGGTTCAGGTTCAGGATCCCTGAGGGTCCATATATACTACCTTTATGGAGATAGGTCCCAAAAGACCATCCCCATTAGGGTTCTTGGTGCCTAAGTCCATAATAGTAGTGTATATGGACCCTCTTGTTATAAGATTGATGCCTGGGCCTAGATCACAAGGAATAGAAGTGAATAGTGTTAGTAAACCTAAACTCTGACCCAGAGCCAAACCGCTAATCGCTGCACCCTGAACACAAACCCTCTACGTAGCGTTAGAGTCGATGTTGAAAGGGCTGTTGGGGCTTTGGGATTAGGGGTGTCGGAATTCGGCTTTAGGGTTTGGGTTTAGGGTTTACCGTTTGCGATTTTAGGGTTTGGTGGTTTGGGAGTTTTCGGATTTGGGAGTACTCCATATCCCCCAAAGGAAGGATCCCAGCTCCTGAGGGGCATCTTCGAAGGTTCCCTTACATAAGCCCTTGGCATGTTTGCTCACCGCGCGCAGGTGTATTGGGACATAATGCTTCGGGAAACTTGGACGCCGACTCTAGGAGACTGGCACGAGGCTGTGGTTTGCCATAGGCCCCAAAGTAGTTCCTTTTTGGGAATACCTTATAGGATTCTATATATGAATCACCAAAAGAAACTACTTTGGGGCCGTAGGGTAGCAAGGCCCAGTTGCAGGCTACCGCGCCCAAGACGTCTGTGGACATGCTCGAAGAAACCATCCGCAACATCTGCGTGGACGTCAACCAGCAGGGCTTCCTGAGCGCGCCGCCCGACATGCGAAAGACGTCTGGTGCCGGTGCTTGCAACCGAGAGGAGCACGAAGCCGCTGGGGATACCTATGGCAGCCTTGGCAAGAAGTCTGGGGACAAGCAGCCGGACCTGCCTGGGCTTCAGCATAAGCCATTGAGTGTCGCCTTAATGCGTTGCTTTGTAGGCTCCTGAACCCTAAACACTGAACCACACGCCCGAGACCCGACCGGAAACCCGAGGGTTGGTGGGGTCTAGGGTTTATGGAACTTTCCCAAACCTTCGTCTCGGCTGGCTGGGTAGCGTGCATATAGCTCTTGGTAGGAACACCGCTGATATACTCCCATATCGCTCCCAGTATAGGAATATTCATTAGAAGAATATCATTCCCTCATACCCCGACTGTATGCATCAGATTAGGCATATTATCATTAGCGTTATTTTAAGGGGATTGCTGGAGAGAGTGGTCGATCCTGTAGTTTTGCATCGCAGCTTGCGTAGGAGTTTGTATGGTCGTGTACAGTCATCATGTTGTGTATACTATACCGTGACGTTCGTGCCCAAGCCCTCTGAGTTAAAAGAGCCGTAGTCTCGCTCATGGCTTAACGGTTTTGGTGTATTCTATAGGTTATCAGCCGTATTCGCTGACTTTGTCTCCGTGGTATTCTTACACTGGTATTCACATTGGTACATGAGCACTTCGCCCTCTCTGCTCACTACTGAGAAGGGAGAAACAACCGAAGTATCATCGGACGAGATGGACGACGAAACAAGAGATCGACTGCTTGATGAACAACTTACAGCAGCTGGCGCGGGCCCTACGGCACCGAGCTCAGGATCCCAAGCACTTGATAGGATCTTCGGTCCGGTGGGTCCTACCCTATCTCCATTTGTCTCAAATCCAACGGTCGACATCTCAAACGTACAGTATACCTTGTACAATGTTGTGAACCAGGGTGAAACAGCCGAACAACAAAGAATGGCAATAGAGCGAACGGAGGCAGATGCTGAAAGAAGACACGCAAGCATTCTGAACCAACAATCGCATGATAATCTTGTGAGAATGGCTGGCATGGCTGAACAGGCCGAGCGCCTTCATGAGGTGAAGATGGCAGAATGCGAAGCACAGTTTGCGGAATTTGAGTTCAACGCATCCCAAAGGGAAAAGTTTTTGTTGAACGAAGTTGCAACATGCAGGAATGAAATGAACATTCTGGAATCAATTTTCCAACAACGACATCAGTCGGAAATCGCTAAGCTCAGAACTACTCTGATTGCTGAGAGCGAACGCAACAAAGCACAACATCTTGATTTTCTTGGAATGCGATTCAAACAAGTTCTTGAAGAAACCGAAGCGAGTATGGAACGGCGTTTCATTACTGAAATCGCTGAAATGAGTGCACAAAACGACAGACTGCAGGATGAACTGGCTGCCGCAGAACGAGCCCTAAGAATGGGAGCCAATGCGGACGAAGCGGGCAAACAATATGCCACGCCGAAGCCAGGACCTAATCCTGCTGTCCCATTCTCAAATCCATTTGAGATTCCCGAGAATATGAAGGACATCTTCGGAAGAACGCCGCAAGCTCAGGAACCTCCGCAAGGAACTTCTGTACCACCTGGGTTTGAGAACAGAGAGCCACAAAAGGAAAAGTCTCCTAAAGCTGCCCAAGCGGGTAAGCCGGCGACTGTTGACCCAGAAGGGGTTCCACATGTTGATTTCGGAGCTGAGGCATTGATTAGGGCAGCACGCTTGCTTACCCCTAAGACCGAAGGTGAAGAGGGCAAACCAAAGGTGAAAGAAGCCGAAAGTATCAAGCTTCCCGATTACCCTAATCCAGAGACCTACCGATCGTGGCGGATCTCGGTCCGCGAGATTGTGCGGGCTGCGAGCGATCGCCCGGATGAGGCATTTCGCTGGGTGCAGGAAGTATATGATAAAGAGGCTACCCTCAAGTCCTTACATGACACTGGGAAATTCTTAACATTGGACACGAAGTTGTTGGCTGCACTTACCAGAGTCGCTAGAGGAGAGATTTCAAGGCAAGTCCTAAACTTCAAAGAAACAGAGGCCACAGGAGGACGTGCCGTCAGGGGAAGACAAGTATTGTGGATGTTTCATCAACACTTTAAGACTAATGAAGAAGTCGGAAGCCTCTATAGCGTAGAAGACCTTTTAAAAGTGAAGTTGGTTGGGGACGACTTGGCTACCTTCCTTTACAACTTCGAGTCGGTGATTGCTGGAATGAGTCATGTTCCGGATGAAGTTACCTTGAGGGACATTTTGCTGAGGGAAATTCGGAAATCCCACCACATCAAGTACGATCTTCAGCTGTACGACAGGGCAAAGGAAGGAAACCCCGTACACACGTATGAATTCCTCGTCAATGCCATTAGGGAGCATCTAACTAGAGAACGGATGCGTAAGAACCGTGACCGCATCGCTAAGTCGCATGGCGATAGATACGGGGCCCCAGCGTACGGATCTGAACGTCGCCCCTCTTCACGAGGAGGCCGTGGAAGAAGCATGTCCCGAAGTAGCTCAAAATCCAGAACAAGCAGCAAAGGATCGAGCCAACGAACACCGCCTAGATCTCAGAGTCCCAAAACACAACAGGTTTGTTACGACTTCCAGAAAGGAAAATGCACAAGAGGCGACAAGTGTAAGTTTCTCCACAAACCAAAGTCAAGATCCCCAAGTCCTCATCGAACGCCTCAGAAGAAGATCAACGCGATTTGCACCTTTTGGAAGAAAGGCAAGTGCAACAAAGGCAAAGACTGTAGGTTCCTGCATCAAGATAAGCCCAATCCAACTGACGCCGCTCCTACTGAGCAGGCCGCCCCTGCGAAGAACGATGAAAAGCCTAGGAGCCCGACCCCGGATCCTAAAGCAAAGAAGGAAAAGAAACAAAGGGGCAGGTCCAAGAGCAAGGAAAAGTCTGGCGGACGCACGGCAGCTTGTTGCATTTCGTATGCGCTGGCAGCTGTGCCCAATGGGCAAGGCGTTAAGGGTGATGCTTCAGGAACGTTCAAGAAATTAAGGTTCAAGGAGAAGCCAAGCATTCGGGAGATTCCATTGGATGGTAAGGGTAAGAAGCATAGGACCAAACCGCGAACTTTCGAAGTTTGTTACTTGGATGCTGAAAGCTGCCCAAAGCCTCCAGTTCAGGACCTAAGCACGGCCATAAGAACAGCGAACGAGCTTGCCAGGATCATGTCCTGTATGCTCAATGGGATTGAAAGCCACTGTGAGTACGAGTGCACAGATGACTGCGAAGAGGGTGAGATCCCAGTTGCAGTGTTGAAGTGCGAGCTGTGTTCTAGCGTGGAAAGAACAGCATGCTCTAGCTTTAATGCGGGATTAGAATTCCTCGCCGATACTGGCAGTGAAGAAGATCTGATCAGTAGGCACGATCACTCTATCTACTACCCAGAGGCTCCCATCGAAAACGCTAGTAGGCCGGTCAACTTGATTACAGCTAATGGTCCAGTTCAGGGAATCAAGTCAACCAACATCCCGATGCCTGAACTGAAGCAAAACATTGAGTGCTATCTACTGGAAAGCACGCCACCGGTTTGTTCTGTTGGGAGAAGATGCATGGACGATGGATATGATTTCCATTGGCCTGCGGGCAAGGTTCCATACTTTATAGCTCCCGATGGTAAAGTCATCAAGTGTAAGATGAAGGGTAGAGTCCCAGTGATCTCAAATGATGACTCGGTAGCGAGCCCAGCAAGCGCTGATGATTCCCAGAAATCTGCTGGAACTCAGGTGTTTAACGCCGGTACAGTCAAGGTTGAACTGGCGGCACCTGCGGAGGACGAATCTTCGGGTTTCCAGTAGAAAGCCGTCCGAGAGGACCGGCCGGGGATGAAAGAGTCGTCCACAGCGACTCCGAGATAGAAGAAGCAATCAATGCTGCACCGCCAATTGCAATCAAGCCTAAAGATTTAGCCAAGCCAGGTTGGATCACTAGCAGTGAAATTGCCGCATCAAAGATCATTATTGGTCATCGGCCAAAGGCTCTGCGAGTACCTGCACCTCGTCATCCAAGGTTCGTGCTAAGGACCACTTGGATCTACAAGGACTCTGCTTGGAGCAAGATTGA